CATTATAAACATCATTAAAACTTAAGACTTTTCCAGATGTGAACTCTAGATCCACCGTCCATTTGCCTTTGATAGCAGTAGTTGAAGAGTTGCCCATGTAGAGAACTATTCTATCACTCACTTGTTCATAAGTAGTGAAATGACTCTTGTCGTTGCAGATGTGCCTTGTTGCTCCTGAGTCAATCCACCAGTCACCAACATCTTCGAGCATGTTCGCCTCAGATACAACAACCACGAACTTGTTCTTGGCATTTGATGCTTCTAGCTTTTTCTTGTATGACCGACATTTATTTCTAAAGTGCCTTGGCTTGCCACAATGCTAACAAGCGCATTTCAACTTCTTAGCATCTTTCTCAGGTTGGGGGTCGCACTTACGCTTCTTTTTATTGAACCTCTTGCCATCATCTACCATGTGAATCTTGGAAATCTGAGTCAATTGGTTTTCGTTACTTTTAAGAAGTCTTGACTCTTTCTCAACTTGAAGGCGTTGAGCCAATTCCTCTAAAGTTAGATCTTCCTTTTTGTGTTTCAATTTTTTCTTAAAATCCTTCCAAGAAGATGGCAGTTTCTCTATTATAGGCAAATTCATCCATGTGTAATATTCTTTTGTCGAAACTGACTCAGAATATGTTGGATCTCATGGAATTGTTTCATAATGGGCTTTGTATCAATTATAGTAAAACGCATAAAATTACTAACAAGAAATTTCTTACTGGTGGCATCCTCGGTGAGTACTTTGACTGTAATATGTCCCATAGTTGTTTTGTCGTTTCCAGATGTTGATACACATTGAACAGAGAGTTTGACAGCGCATTCAAAATATGTCCTTGGCAAATGTAGTCGTCATTCTCCCATTTGGTTCTGGTACGGGTTTGCTTCATAATCTCGTCTTCTTACTCTACCGGATAGGGGTAGTTAGCACATAGACCACTTTGAGAGTGGTGAGCAAAAAGTGCATATTCTTTTATTAGCATCGAAAATTTCTGTCATCAAACCGGTCAAGCTTCATGAAATCTTGAGTCATTTTCTAAATAGACATCATCATATCTAAATATTGTCTTTAGATTGTTGAAACTATTTGTCTTGAATTCTTCAGTTGGTAGTCTTTGGGTCTTAAAAACTTGGCGATGATTTTGTCTATATTAAACATAAATTTAGTGCTTCAAGTCGCGTTACTTAGTCGCTTTTTTAAAAACAATATTTGCACCCACCAAAAGGTTTGCAGGGGGTTATAGCAAATTCGCTTCCAAGATACAATGAAATTTGATCTAAAGATGAAGTCTACCGACGTCTGCACTGACGACAATAGATCAGAATAATCTTAATATAATCAAGAAAATCAAGACACTGATAATCAAGTCTGCACAATTTAATTACCAATAAGAAAGAAAAAACTTGCTTAAGAAACTCTTAATCGAAAACTTTAAATCAATAGGGGAGAGAGAGAGAATTTCAGGAATGCTTTTCAGGATTTTGGATGGATTAAAATAGCTGATTTCGCAGCCTATTTATAAGCTTTGATGCATCTGATTGAATAGCCACTCCCTTTGATCGTATCCGGTCAGATATGGCCGTTGGATCGACGATCTACGGTGCAGATCATTCTCACACCGAATAAATGTCTTGACTAATCACACCTAATCACGATCGGGTGCCATCTTATCCGTACGATCGCGCTCATCTCCAATCAACAGCAATGATCAAACCGCTCCAGATCAGATACACAACCGTTCGATCGATTGGTTGACTCATCGCCAACGGACGCCACGTCACTGCCACGTGGAGCTGACTCTATTCCACGGCACCCATGCCACGTTGGATTCACGTCATCGCTCAAACTTGTCTGATGCAAATAGGAAAGCGCTCTCATGGCGCCCGTGCAAAGTGTGCCATCAAACACCACGCAGCCTACTGCCCACGCTACGCGTGCGCGTGTGCGTTGTGAGTGCATGTACACTAGTATCCAGCCCATAATACCATATTTAAAAGAATATTTCATGTAACACTTTATTAAGTGCTTCATATTTTGCTCTCTTTCTAATGTGAGACAAAATCTCCAGACTTATTTCATGTTTTGCAAACAAAATATGAAAATTTTTAAAAACACCCAAAACTAAATAATAAATTTTGAACATTCATTTCAAAAATTCCAACATATATACCAAAGGCACAAAAAAGTAGTGGTACACTAGCATATAATTGAAGCTCATGATAATGATGGCATTGCCGTTTCACAACATTCGCTAGCTAAGCTGGCTCTCACTCCAATCACTCTCGGTGCACGTTTACATCACAAAATGGAATATTGTTTGACATAATTGTATAATCACTATTAAATCTTTATTTGAATTATAAATTTTGATAATGATTTGAAAAGAGAAAATAAAGAAAAAGAAAAAAAATAAGTAAAATGTGAATGACATATAATTATATTTTATTTATATTCCTACATATTACACTTTTTCGGTTCTCTTTTCAAATTTTTATTTAAATTCTTACTTCAAAAACAATCTAAGCTAAAAGTATTTGTGTTCTGAATCTAAAGTGTGATGTATTCAATCAAATCATATTGTCAATTTTGCATACCTCCGTATCAGCATCTCATTTTGTAACAAAAATATTAAACAAATTAATCAAAGAACAAGAAACGTAAATACAGAAACCAATGTTTGGAGAACCAATTGATGGAATAAGAACTTCTTTTGGATGTTGATGCAAGTGATGAACTTCTGATAAAATTGATTTAATAGAAATCATTCAAGTCACGTTACAATATTACTTATGTTGTGTTTGGTTGAGAGATTTGAGGAGGGATTTGAAAAGGGAAATGGAAAAGGTAGGTGAAATATAAATAAAACATGCCTAAATTTCACATAGTTTCACGCACCTTTTCCCTTTCCCTTTCCAAATCCCTCTCCAAATCCTCCAACCAAACACACCATAAAAGATAGTATTTGCGCTAACATGGTGTGCATGCAGTTCGAGCAAATCCACCTTCAAGATTCAGAGCAAAATCCCTTTGTAAATTAGAAGAAGAAAACCATAGAGATTAAATTGCAGAACATGATTATGAATTTTGAGAATCAAAATGGCTAGATAGCAAATCAAATAGGTTACGAAATTTGATCATATTTGAGATTCTAATCTAACCGCTTGATCTGACTTCTACGGTGCAAATCTCTCCTTAGGCCAAATAGGTGTAGTGACTATACACATCCACTCTCGTAATCATTTTCTTCCAACAAAAAATAATCCAATTTCTAACCATTTTCTTTTAATTTTTATTCTAGTTAACCAAACATTACATTATTACTTACACTTTATTCCAATTCATGCCATTTCAAGATAATAACAGAACCCAATTAGCAAGATTACACTTCCAAAATTCAAGTCATTTCAAGAAAAATTTATAGAATCCAATTAACAAGATTACACTTGGTGTCTAATTGAACAGTTAATAAGAATCACAAAGATGTGAATTAAAAGAAGGAAAAGTGAGAGAACCAATGAGGTAAAGAAGAATCCACAGATCAAATTCATTTTAATTAACATTGTCCGCTTTCTCCAAAGTCAAAGCCTCTCTCACCTCGGAGCAACGAGGAACGCACAATTTCAACCTCAAGAAACCAATTATATTTTTTTTTGCAATATTACTTTGAAAAATTATATTGATCTGATAATCATAATTATATATTTTGATAATATTTATCTACAAGATAATAATAATTTAAAAAATAAACTATTTATTTATTTATTTTTTTGCATATGAATCTGATAAATTCGTAGACTATAATTATGAGATTAATTTAATTTTTATTATGAAAGATCAATACACATAATCAAATAAAATGAACGATTCAAAATTTTAAAATAAGACCTATGATGGAGTCCCCATGACCCAACAGCATCTCCACTCCACTTCATAGACTAGGGAAGCAAATTTCTAAAGAAATTGGCAAACCCCCTTTCTTCACTAAGAATTCTCAAAGTTTCTTTGTAGATTGCCTTTATTAATGTGCAAACAAGCACTACCAAGTATCTACTTTATGCCTTTTTTTTTTTTTTTTTTAAGGGCTTTTTTTTTTTGGTAGATTGGCATCACATAACATTCACTGCATCAATGCAAAAGCCAATCTTCTTTGCATATAACACAAGATTCTCTCTCAAACAAAACGTTTTTGCATATATAAATTGGGATCAAGTAATTAGATTGTTGATATAAGAAAGGTATCACATTTTGAACTTGACGTCTGCAACTCCACCAACATCTATCACCACTTCCCACTTGCTCTAGAATTGCGACTTCTAGAAAATAAAATAGAAAAACACATTCATTGTTTTTATTTGTGTAAACATAATTTTTTAAAATTTTTAAAAAATATGAGAGAACAATCAGAGCGTGACAACTTTCTACTCCCTCAAAATGGTGACAAAGATTAGTAGGCAAAAGTTTCAATTCGGAATTAATGTTTCTTAAAAAATAAATTATTTTAAAAAAAATCAAAAACCAATTTGAAAATAATTCACCAAACAAGGTTTTATATTTTCCAAAAACATAAAAATAAAAAAACAAATACAGAATCAAACATACTTTATACAATGCTTTAGCAATTGTGCTGAGCCAAACATGTACGGTTTCACTTTTAAGTGCTTACATAAGCAAACTTGATTATTTTTCATGTTATCATCTCGTTTCACTCTTAAATTTTTAAGTTCATATCCAAATTCATTTGACAAAATAATTCTCACCCCTACTCCCAAGCCAGATGAGGCAAACTATAAATCTTGAGATTAAATAAACCAATTTCTCAGAAAAGCTGGAATTAAACTATTTTATCGAACAATGAAATTAGAACAGAGTCTTTTTTAAATCAAATCCCATAAATAAGAGCTCAAGCAAGTTACAAGTCACAACTATATGACAAGTCACAACTATATGACGGACAATGTGATATGCTCATTTTTAGATGTTTTGCAGAAAATTAAAATTAACAGCATTCTAATTCTCAAGATGTGTATTCAAGATCCAAAAATAGTCTAAATTAAAATCTATTGTTACCATTTTCAAACTGAAAGATGTTGGAACCACAAAAAGGGTCCTGGATTGTGCATTCATTTTCAACAGCAACCCACAAGAAATTCAAGTTTTCATGCAATGCATAAACACCAACCTAAAATACTAGTAGTGAAAAAGAAACCCTATAAACAACTAAAATGAGTTACAAGGTCAAGAATCTACCGGGGCATGGGTGGCTTGTGCCCCAGAACTATGATTGTTGTAGAAGTTTCCACCACCACCACCACCACCTCGGCCACCCCTTCCCCTGTTGTTATAATAGCTCCTCGGATAAAAGCTTCCGGGCTGGTCATAAAATTGGTTGCGGCCATTTTGGTAAACACCACCACCACCCCTGCTGCTTCCTCGTGCTCCACGACCATTGGGGTAACCCCTGCGGCCACCACCACGGCCACCTCTTTGGTTCTGATAGCTCCTCCGAGGGATAAAATGCGACTCCTTTGACTCCACATCTCTTTGATTCAGCCCTTCGAACTGTGGTTTGTCTTCTTGTTCTGTCTCAACTGGAACCTCAGTAGAATTCTCTGATTCAAATTCACCCTACAAAGCAGAGCACCATAATTCATCACATTAACCAAAAAATAATTGATAAATTATTAATACAAGAAGTTAGTCTAAGGGTACAAATATAACCTTGTGAGGTTCCTCCACGGGACCAGACTGATTGTCATATGCTTCATTTCCTTGAAAAGCTGATGTTTCATTTCCTTGAAAATCTGATGTATCTTCATCCTAGAGAATACATGCACATAAGGATACATGTAAGAAAAATCTTGGCAGGATAATATTTCCCAAAATACGTAAGTTCTCAAAAGTACTTTATAAAGAAACCTCATGGTAGAACGCAAAAAAAGTACTTTAAAAAGTAAAATAATCCTATGACGACCATTTTTTTACCAAGTTTTGTTTACCATCTCATGTGTAAACACTACATTGGTGACAAGCACAAGTGGTGGGACACATTAAACCAATAGTGTTGTCAACACATGAAATGGTATGCAAAATATGGTAGAAAAATAGTCATTTTAGCATTATTTTAAAAAGTATGAGATAAGCGGGAGCAATTTAGCTGAGTCAACAAACATATCAGGCACAACCAAATCAGAAAGAAACAAAAGGTCATCACAAACTATTAAATACCCAATCAAGGTTCTGATTGTCTCTCTCCTGGTTCCATCATATCTAGTTATCGGCTTTTCACAAGTTACATAAAATGCTTGACTAGTATCAACACAAGAAAGCAAGAGGAAAAGGAAGCAAGATTTTCTCTAAGGCAATGTTACTAGTCAAACATCAATAAAAAATGACAGTCAACCAAATGCACTCTTTAGAAAGTATGAAGTCTACCTCATTTTGGCAATGGGCAATAAAAGATGTGTGTGATTCTCTTGCAGTTTACTGTGTTAACAAGATAACAACCCTTCCCCCAATGAGGGTTCGTGAATTTAAGTGCCCAAACATTTTTGGTAGTCAGTAACATATAACCTGTTTCTTAACACCAAAAATGCATAAAAGAGGAAACTTGTTCATCCAATGAACAAATGAGCCAAGTAAAAATTTGTATAAATAATGGATTTTTGAGCCCGATAGGTGTACCACTAGTAAGAAACAATCGGGTCCAAGTGAAGGAACTACAAAGACACGAAAAAAATGGAAGTAGCTTGTGGTCAAGGCCACTGGTTAGTTGCTCAAGCTCATACTGTTGTTCCCATGCATGGTGTCCCAAGTGTTACACTTCTGCCTAGCAAGAACTCTCAAGCTAAGTAGCACAGACACAAACATGGGGACACACTGACAATGATTTTTTTTTTAAATGTAAAACACAATATGCTCGAGACATGTTAAAATTTTATTATATGTGATATATATAATAGTTTATTCAAAAATAATTTTAAAAAATAGAAGCTCCATGAAATGGGGAGTTGAAGAAAATGAGGCATTTGAGGATTAGTTTAGATTCAGGTCTGAAGCCACTGGAAAGCGGAGAGATTTGAAGTTTTATGACTTTTTTGAGTCTTTTAACATGTTTCAATGATCCTAGGTTTAACCTTGAGTAACTATACATGTTTCATAAATTCTGTTCTTAAAAGGGTCTTTACATCTAAGTGCTCCAAACTGACATCAAAAACCATATTGGACTATAGTCTTGGATGTAATACAACATAGAAAAGAACCCCAAACATGACTCACCTCATGACACCTACATCATTTGCTTAAGAGAAATCAAAAGTACCATGATCTTACCAATTATGAAGTTATTCCATCTATATATCATTCAGACCATCTCCAACAGTGCATCAAACCTTGCATCATATTTGAAATTTGATGAAAAAATCACTTTTTCTCACTCCAATGGTTTCACCAAATTGATATCAAAATGAGAATAGAACAAAAGTTTCATCAAACTAAGGACAATCTCCAGATTTCATCTTTTCACTGTTCTATACCGTTGGACGGGGCCAACCGGTCAACCAGCCGGATGTCCGGCCGGTTGACCAACCGGTTGACCGGTTCCCTTACAAATAGGTGGGTTCAAACAGGTTAAAAAAAAAAATTAGTCTTACCGGTCAACCGGCAGGTCGACCCACCGGATGACCCTTCCCTTTTGATGCACCATTGGAGCAAGCCATATCAGATTGAGAAAATCAAAAACTTTTTACTCAGATTTAGTGAAAAAAGTAATGAACCGTTGGAGATGCTCTCACTAAACAACAGTAATTATCAAAATTTGTTTTGAGAAAATTAGGATAAAATAGAGGAAAATAATTAAATTAAAGGGACACGCCACCCGGCGTGTCCCGTACGTGTCCCCGGCGTGTCCCCGTGTCCCCGGCGTGTCCCCGTGTCAGACACTGCCACGGCATGAAATCTGCCGTGTCCATGCTTCATAGCTTAAAAGGGTCTTTACATCTAAGTGCTCCAAACTGACATCAAAAACCATATTGGACTATAGTCTTGGATGTAATACAACATAGAAAAGAACCCCAAACATGACTCACCTCATGACACCTACATCATTTGCTTAAGAGAAATCAAAAGTACCATGATCTTACCAATTATGAAGTTATTCCATCTATATATCATTCAGACCATTTCCAACAGTGCATCAAACCTTGCATTAGATTTGAAATTTGATGAAAAAATCACTTTTTCTCACTCCAATGGTTTCACCAAATTGATATCAAAATGAGAATGGAACAAAAGTTTCATCAAATTGAGGACAATCTCCAGATTTCATCTTTTCACTGTTCTATATCGTTGGACGGGGCCAACCGGTCAACCAACCAGATGTCCGGCCGGTTGACCAACCGGTTGACCGGTTCCCTTTCAAATAGGTGGGTTCAAACAGGTTAAAAAAAAAAAATTAGTCTTACCGGTCAACCGGCCGGTCGACCCACTGGATGACCCTTCCCTTTTGATGCACCATTGGAGCAAGCCATATCAGATTGAGAAAATCAAAAACTTTTTACTCAGATTTGGTGAAAAAAGTAATGAACCGTTGGAGATGCTCTCACTAAACAACAGTAATTATCAAAATTTGTTTTGAGAAAATTAGGATAAAATAGAGGTAAAAGCAAGCAACGAAGACAAAAATCCAAAACTTGAGAAAAGTTTCAAAAGATAATTACTAAGCCAACCATAAATACCAAAACTACATTAGCATTTACTCTAATTAACTACAAATTATCAATGCCTTTGTTCCAAATGATAAAATGCTCATGCAAGAGATCATGAGCAGAGCTCCTTGTTCATTAAGATTCTCCACACACCAAATAAATGAAGTGGACAACCTAAAAAGGAAAATCGTAACTACAAAATCCAATAAGAATGAATGCTCCAACCCTAAGAAGGAAACATCTTCGCATTCTCTTTCTAGCATACCCAACAGCACGTATGTGCACATATATATGAAATCTCAAAGGGCAGAACATATATCTTTTTATTCAACTTACCATACACAACAGCATGAAGTTGACTTGAGAAAATCATTTTAGCCATTTGGTTCACTCAAGGACCCTTCAATTAAATTGTGAGTCACAACTTTTTCTTCTCATGGGATCACTCAGCCTACGTAATTGAACCATACTGCAGATCTTAAAGAACAATGGTGAAAATGACAATCCAGCAATTTAAGGCAACCAAATACAGCATTTGGTGCTTGGCAACAAGTAATGTAGTTCACTTCGAGGAGTTTTGTCAACAGCTCACACAACAAATGTAACATCCTAGAAGATCTCACAGCTCCAGTGAACAACAATTAGAGAGTGAATAACCAAACCCCAAAAAAGAAAAGATTAAAATGACTTGAATAAACAACAACAAAAAGTATAAAGTAATCCAAAAGACAAACAATAAGAGTTGACTTAAGAGTGAGGTTTTTTTCAAAATTACTATGTCTTGTACCCACATCCGCATCCATGAAGGGATTGGAGGAGCTCTAAGCGTTGTTCTTTTGGACAAGGGCATTGTGGGTAGGTGAGTAAAATATTTTTGGCATAGAAACGGAAAGAGACTTGGCAAGACATTTTGTAGTGATAAACAATAAACTCATACCAACCGTGCAAGGGCTCTCTATTAATTAAAAAACCTAGCATAAATGGTGTGAGTTGGTGTGACTGGGGTGCTATATTAATATTACCAGCCCCCCCCCCCCCCCCCCCCCAAAAAAAAAAAACCAGTGCGCTGATCTGGGCCGTCCATTCATTTACTTGTGGACACAAGTATGGATGTAATTAAAAGGAAGTCACACCCGGACCCAGATGTGGGTACTTTTGATTCTCTTGCTGGATAGTGCCATACACGTATCACGTTTGTGGTAGTTTGCGTGGTTGTAAAGTAAAAATATTTTCAGAATGAGTGACATAAAGTAAAGGTGAAAAAATGATTATACTTTTGAATTATTTTGAATGGAGAATCTCAGTCCTTACTCATGGGCCAAATTTGTTATTTATTTGGTACCAGAAAACATTTGATGGTATAGAGGAATATGTTTTTGTAGTGGAATAGCTATTGTGATAACGTTGTTTTCTAATACTTGTTTTGTCCCTCTTTTTCTGTCTTTCTTTTTTGTTGATTGTATAGTATACAATGTTGTACTCCTCAGAAGAGTATTCCGAGAATTACGGATAGTTCACTCAAATGTGTGTAGATCATTTTTTGACATAGCAAATAGGACTGTGAAAAGAAAGCCAACAGTCAACTCCGGCGAAGTTTGTTCGTGGGTACAAGGAGCAGAGGGCAAAAATATCAAAGCTAAGGTGCCTGAACAGAAAGGTTAACAGAGATAACAGATCCTATAGAGTGTTCGAATAAAAGATTTGAAGCTTTTTATAAAAAAATGAAAGGAGTAGTAAACAACCAATATTAGACTCCCCTTGCGTACCGGAAGTCAACGACATCGGCGACCAATGGATATAAGCGAAGTTACCATAGTCGTGCACCTTTTGAGCGGCGTACATTTGCAGACGGTACGTTCAGAATATTCCTCGATATATTAAGAAGACTAAGAGGGGAGTAAGAAAGTTACAATTGTGCAATGAACAATTAAGAGACGTTAAATTTGATAATAAAAGTATAGCGAAACTGCTGAACGGTATTGAGTTGGGTAATAAAAGATGTGACCATCAATCAGACAAAATCGTGGTTAAGGGTATAAAATTAATTGAGAATGTTCAATTGGGACAAGAGGCTAAAGAGGAAGCTGTGGTCCACCATGTTTTTTTTTTCGTCATAAGTGATAATAATCCGTCAGATTCCGTCCCCACACCTTACAAGATATTTATTGGAGTTAGTAAGGGTAATCCTGAGAACTGGATTGTTGATCTTGACCAGTCCGACAGTTTTCGAATGCTAAAGAAAATGAGATTCAAGCTTGTTGGTGGCAAAGACAAAGAGTATGTTCGTCACGGAATAGAAGTTGTGGACCGATTCTTCCCAGTTGATGTCTAGACGAACTACAAAGGTACACTGTTGGGAAATGCTAGAAGTATTCAGAAGGGTACCATATATTTAGTGGCTGCTACTATTGGTGGAAAAGAATACAAAGTTACGTTAATGAGTCAAATGTACTTTAAACTGTTTAGAACTATAATTTTATGTATTTTTATTTGTAATGTTCAGGTGAATGGAGGTAGACGATATAAAAACTGGTGTTGTTGAAGTTGTTTTAGCAAATATTTCAGTTGTATTAAACTCACGTCACTTAATTTATTTTCTCAGTTGAGATTGAAATACAAACAAAAAAGTATTAAGGTTGATAAAACATTCCCCCCTTTGCGCACCCAATGCCAATGGGTTGGTCAGAGTAAATATATATGATCGGAGATTAGATGGTAATAATAGTTTGCAGGGGTATTTCGTATCGTGGTTAAGGGTATAAAATTAATTGAGAATGTTCAATTGGGACAAGAGGCTAAAGAGGAAGCTGTGGTCCACCATGTTTTTTTTTTCGTCATAAGTGATAATAATCCGTCAGATTCCGTCCCCACACCTTACAAAATATTTATTGGAGTTAGTAAGGGTAATCCTGAGAACTGGATTGTTGATCTTGACCAGTCCGACAGGTTTCGGATGCTAAAGAAAATGAGATTCAAGCTCGTTGGTGGCAAAGACAAAGAGTATGTTCGTCACGGAATAGAAGTTGTGGACCGGTTCTTCCCAGTTGATGTTTGGACGAACTACAAAGGTACACTGTTGGGAAATGCTAGAAGTATTCAGAAGGGTACCATATATTTAGTGGCTGCTACTATTGGTGGAAAAGAGTACAAAGTTACGTTAATGAGTCAAATGTACTTTAAACTGTTTAGAACTATAATTTTATGTATTTTTATTTGTAATGTTCAGGTGAATGGAGGTAGATGATATAAAAACTGGTGTTGTTGAAGGTGTTTTAGCAAATATTTCAATTGTATTGAACTCACGTCACTTAATTTATTTTCTCAATTGAGATTGAAATACAAACAAAAAAGTATTAAGGTTGATAAAACATTCCCCCCTTTGCGCACCCAATGCCAATGGGTTGGTCAGAGTAAATATATATGATCGGAGATTAGATGGTAATAATAGTTTGCAGGCGTATTTCGTTTTCCCTGTGGATTGTCGATGCGAATAAGTATATTATGGGAATGGTTATTGTTTCATTCGCAAAAAACAGGTGCTATGGATAGTGAAGTATCGACTCGAAGATTCGAATATTAAAAAGGGAGTAACATATTGTAATATGAGGGGTATTTGAAGTATTTTACAAGTGAAATGCCAGAAGATTCTCAGTTGAGGGCCCCATCTATTGTGGTCTTATCTAAAAAATATACAACGGCAAATGTTGATGTTTGACATTGTGCTCCAACTGAAGTTCTTTCGATTCTATCGTAGACTAAGTTAGTTGATTTACCTGAAAAGCGAAGAGATTTGTTGTTAGGAGGTTTTGGGAAAAGTGGTTCAATTATTGATGAACATAGAGGTCGACTTAGCTTATTCGAGATTGATGTACGCAGAGCTAATGAAGGTGCTAGTGATGTTGATCCTGGTCCATCGATTTCGGAAGTTAGTGCTGCTAGAAAAGACGAAGTTGATAAGAGATGGTCTGTAATTATGGACGGTCCAAAATTTTCCGATGTTTTACGAAATGTAATCATGAGTGTAAAGAAGAATGAAGATGATGTTGATAATAAGGGAAATGTAATAAGTAAATAAAAGTTTGAGTGATCACATAAATAAAAGTTTGATTCTGGACCATCATAACAACAGAATATCTCTTATCAACTTCGTCTTTTCTAGCAACACCAACCTCCGAAATCGACGGACCAAAATCAACATTATTAGCACCATCGTTAGCTCTGCGTACATCAATCTTAGATAAGCTGAGTCAACCTCTACGTTCATCAATAACTGAGCCACTTTCCCCGGGTAAGCCAACTAACTTAGTTCGCGATAGAATCAAAAGAACTTCAATTGGAGCACAATGCCAAACATCAACATTCGCCGTCGTATATTTTTTAGATAAGACCACAATAGATGGGGCCCTCAATTGCGAATCTTCTGACATTTCACTTGTAGAATACTTCAAATACCCCTTCATTTGACAATATGTTACTCCCCATTTAATATTCGAATCTTCAAGTCGATACTTCACCATCCATAACACCTGTTTTTCGTTAATGGAATAATAACCATTCCCATAACACACTAATTCGCATTGATAATCCACAGAAAAATGAAATACGCAGGTTGGTGCTGCTAGAAAAGGCGAAGTTGATAAGAGATGGCCTGTTGTTATGGACGGTCTAGAATTTTCCGATATTGTGCAAAGAAGAGTGACGATGTTGTTGTTGATGATAAGGGAAATGTAATAAGTAAATAAAAGTTTGAATAGTTACATAAATAAAATTAATAAAAATTTTCATTAATCATGACAGTGATTACATTTACATCAAACCATTCTCTCATTTGAAAAAAATAACACTCAAAAAGAGAAATAAGGAGAACTAGAAACGACTACAAAGCATAAAGGACTCACCAAGTTAAGAGTTTGCAAACCACAAGAGAAAAAAATGCAAAAGAAATGCAACATCTCAACAAAAAAATTCCCAAGTTGAAGTTCTTCTCTTGGGTATGAACCAAACTTCAAGTTTGGCAAATAAATTAATACTATGGTAAAACATTGCCATCATCACCATATAATCACTAATCTCTCCAATATCATATAAAGCCAGAAAAAAAAAATACAGGTAACAATCTTTTTACACTTACTTTCTTTTCAATAGTAAGTAATGCACAGCTAAAGTTGGTTCAAAAAATGAAGATGCCTCAAGTTAGAATCTACATTAGGCAAAATAATCAACATGAGGGTCCAGATAACCAGGAGAAAAAAAAATGCCAAGAATGAAGCACAATCAACACAACTTGAACAACTAAACCTCTTATGCTTCCATTGTAGAATTATTCAAAAAAAAAAAAAAAGGACATGAGAGAGAGAGAGAGAGAGAGAGAGTTTACTGTATTACACTCGGTTTCAGTATATGAGCATATCTAATTTATGGTGTTGTACTACCAATTTAAACACTATCAAGATCAACCATATAAAAATAGTAAACAAACACTTTATATTCTTATTTATATTCACAAGGGCAATAATCATAGACAGCTTGGCCTAAAAATCCGAATTGAACAACACAATAAATAAGCATCATTTCTTGCAACTTTTAATTACTTCAAACGCAAAATAAGAATACCAAAAGATCATCGTATTGCCTCATAAAATCCTATCCCACATGGCAAAGTGACTCTTCAAACAGAAATAACCATGGTACAACATCAAACAATGCAAAACAATGGAAACTTACTACAACATTTTTGTTTGCACCAAATGTTCTAGTTACAGCACAACACACTATGCCCACAAAAGGCTGTCAATAGAGGAAAGGCAACAACAACAATAGAACTTTATACACCTGATATTAAAAGATTCAAATAATCCCAAAAACAAAATACTGATCCAAACTCTAAAAGCCCCCCAAAAAATAGATTTCACATACAGCCCTGTTAATCACTATAATGGAAATTAAACATCACCCAAAAAACTGATGCATACTTGGTAAAGTTCTATTGACCAAACACTATACAATCCAAAAAATAAATAAATCAAATGAAAGAAATCAAACATAATGCTACAGCACAGCCCATGTAGACTTAATGGAGCATGTATCCACACTCACGGCAACATCAAATAGGAGTCAAAAAAATAATCTTGAATACCTGAATTTCTGAAGAAAACATATTTTTACCTGCTGATATTGCCCATCCGAACCTTCGGTTTGTACTGGCACAACAGAACCATGCATTGGAACCTGAAAAGAAGCATAATTTCCAGCAGCAGCAGCAGCCATTTCAACAGTAGCTTTCATCTCCGGCGTAGTGGTGAAATAATCCGATGCCATAATCTTGTTGAGCTTCGCTCTCAACCCAGCATCTACAACAACAAAAAAAAACAAAAAAACAAAAAAAAAAATTCATCAATCAAAGTCACCAAAACACATCTGCACACAAATCCCAAAATTCAAAAAAAGTAGCGGTGAATAAAGCATACAAGAAACATTCGGATCTGAATCGATTGGATGATCGGAGTTAGCGAGCCATTGCTTGGCGTGCTCAATACACTGTTGCAACGCATTCTTATGAGAAAGGCTCGAATCGACCGGCCTCGAAATCAACAAACCACCAAGCATCGAAATCAAATCCAAGTCCCTCTCGCCGAGCAGATCGGCCGATTCATCGTCGGTGACGTAGTCGTAGGTCAAACAACACCCTCGCTCGTGAGTCCGAGTCAGCATCGTCGAAGTGAAATCGTTCTGACTCTTCACATCGAACATAGTCCCAAAGTAGAGCAGATTCAAAAGATCCTCCACCATCGTGTGTTCTCGGTCCACTTTAGGTTCAATCTCCGCGACATTCTGCTCAATTTCCACATTTTCTTTGGCGTCAGGTGAGGCGGAGACGTGGTGGTGGCGCTGGACGGCGATGCTGATTTCTTCGGCAACGGCGGCGGAGAGCGGTTGCCAGAGCTTCTCGAGTTCGTCGATAGCGGCGGAGACGGAGGGTTTGGAGCGAAGAAAGTCTTCTTGTTCCTTATGGATGGATTTTCCTTGAGCGATTGAGTCTTCCAATTGGAGGATGCGATTGTTCTTCTTGCGGAGGGCACGGAGGCGCTTGTTGATGAGGCTGAGAACTGGTCCTTCGGTCACGTCCGAAGAAGCCCCTCCCGCCGCAGCCATTGTAAGGGATTCTGATTTGGTTAGATTGGAAGGAAATGAGTGCTGGTTGCGCCGCCGTCAACGGCGGTGGTGGGTGGCGAAGGGTAGGGCTTTTGGAGGTTTTGCTTTGCAGGGTTGTTGTTGTTGGTAGAGAGAGAGAGAGAGAGAGAGAGTGGAGTGAGTGGCTTTTACATTATTGATTTTGTAGAAAATGAAGGACTAGATCGATCTCAACAGTTTAATTTTTTCTAAAAAAATTTATTCATAATCAATGTTTAATAAACTTATTCAAGAAACCTTCTTATTTATAGATAAAAGTTAAAACATATATTGCCTCCGTTTGGGAAGTGGGTTGGTTTTTTGGCTTTTTGGCTTTTTTGGCTATTTTAGCCTGGGCTAAAAAGTTTGGTTTGGAAAGGGCTTTTTGGCTTTTTTAATTTTTTTTGTGAGAGAAGAGTGTAATGATTATGGGTTGGATGTGATGTTTTGTTTGTTGTGGCTAAAATAGCCTGTTTTGTCTTTTGTGGCTATTTTAGCCCCAACCCAACTTGCCATAGAAAATGAAGGACTAGATCGATCTCAACAGTTTAATTTTTTCTAAAAAAATTTATTCATAATCAATGTTTAATAAACTTATTCAAGAAACCTTCTTATTTATAGATAAAAGTTAAAACATATATTATATGATTTTTTTTAAAAAAATTCATTTTCTTGGTCAACTATATTTATGATAATTATATAAAGATAAAGTAAAGAAAAACAGGTAGAAGAGACCCGTTATCATCTTCAAGTCATATTTATTTATTTTTATATATATGTATAGTCATCTATAAAAAAAAAAATTAAAAAAACAGGAACAATTCTGTTTGGATAAGTTCTATTAGATCTTTTCATGCCACAATGGGTGAACCAAATCCTAATACACCGGTTTGATTTCATGAAATCAAAACCATCCATCCGTACAAAAAAATTAATCTAATAATATAATTTAAATCAATGTGAATCAATTCAAATCCATTTACCAAATTTTCTTTCATGCACCCCTATTATACAGTTGTGTGAGAGTGTGACTTCGCGTCCGTTAATTGGAGTGCATTCAATTAAAGGTGCCTCAAGTCAATTGTAGGTAGAATTCAATAGGAAAATGTTCGGTAGTTCAAATTTTGTAACTCAAATAATTTGAATATGTCAAAACGACAAATGGTATCGTTTTCAAGTCATTCGAGTCATAATTTTTTAAACCACCTAATATTGTTGAAACTCAATATATATTTAATAGGTTTAGAATGATTCGAGCTTGTCTAATCAAATTAAAAAATTAACAAATTTCAAAATGAATTAGAAAAATTAATATTGAATAAGATTTTCGTTATTTTCGTGATCCGAACATAGTTGAGTTGTTTTACACCCAACATGCCTTGCAACTTAAATATTGCAATTTAGGTGACTCTAGTTACAAATCCAAGAAGTACACACATAAGTAAAAAATTAAGGCTACTATGCAAATTAAATAAAAAACAAACAAAAACAAATGCTGTCCTATACATCTGCATTTCATGTTTCTACCAAATTATGCTGATATCTTACAAAACATTTCGCAAAATCCTCTTTTGATCAAGAGCAAAAGAAGACCCCAGAAACAATAATAACAATTAATTAATAACTAATCACTACCAGAATGTACATACAAATTTAAAGGGCTAGGAAGAAAATTTAATTAATGGCAGCAGCTACTCCGAAACTTGGCTTTCAAGAGCTGGAATTTGAAGGAATCGAGCGGAGTACCGAAAATCTGATGTCTCTCTCCTATTCGGAATTACAGATCTCTTCCGCCTTTCAGAAAATCCTTGCCCAGAAATTTCTTCAGATAGAAAACCTAAGCTCTTTTTCTCTCTAGCATTTCTATTTTCTTCCAAAAACCTGCAAAATTGTCAAGCAAAATTGTCGAACAAAATTTCAAGACAGTTATCACCTAGTATCAACTTAAAATTCCCACAGAAATTGTTTTTTTCTATATTAGTTATTGGTATAGCAGAAATTCATGATGCATGCATCTTATCCTAGCATTGATTGTACTCGTTAAACAAATTAAGATTTTTTCTTGCTAACATGTGAAAGCCAAAACTATATTTTTGTCTACGCCAGGGCAAAGTTTGGGCGTGCCATAATTATGGCACCGACCACAGCCCCAAGGGCAGAGTGTCAAGGTGCGCCCATCCAAGGGTCAACACCTTGATGCCACATTCATTTGTGCCCTTTGGAGAGCCAAAAACATGCTCAAAAAGTTGTTGGTACAAGTGCAAGCAAAGGCCCAAGGCATAGTGCAAGGCAGCCCACAACAGGCCATGAGACAGCATGTGCCAGGCCGAGGCCCAGCAGCAGCAGCCCCGGCAGCAGCCAGCAGTAGCCAGGCCACAGCCTTGCCAGCAGGCCGCAGCCCAGGCCACAGCAGGCCGCAGCCCAGGCCACAGCCTTGCCTGTGCAGCAGCAACTTAGACACATTTTGGAGGGTCAAATGTAATATTTTTGTCTTGTAAATTTTTATGTAAATAGATTGGTATTAAAGGTGTTTTGGGACCAAATTTTGTAATTTTTCTCTTTTTGTAAAATTTTTAGAAATTCATTATGCCTCCTCAAACATAGAGGATGTTTCCTCTTGCTAGCTAAGAAAAGGCTTAACAAGCTATATTAAGGAGGGGGTACCCAAGTGTTGAACCAAACTACTTGTGCCTTTAAAGTACCCCAACCTAGCCAATGGTAAGATAACTTTTGTAGCACTTTTGGTGCATTGTTCAACTATTGTATTGCCTATTTTTGATCAATGAAAAGTTCATTTCGCCTTTAAATTGTGCAAAGCTTTTCCATTGTTGCTTGCTTTAATTTTAGCTTGTTGCTTGCTATTTTGTAGCTTGTCTCCAAACTTGTGCCTCATCAACTAACTAATATTGTGTCTGCTTGTCTTAGCAAACCTTTTGAGCTTTTGTGGCGGGCTAGTGAAAAGAGTTAACTACCGCCACACACACTTGCATATCTCTTGACAAAGCTTCTGCACTACCAGTGTATGACACAAAACCAAGATTTTTGACCAGTGGGGGGGAGGTTGATCCATGTACGCACAAAACGTATATCACACACATTCCCAAAAAATGTTCAATATTTACAAAGGCTCATAGGAGACCATTGAAGCCTTACCGTTCACGAATGGTTCTAAAAGCTTCTTTAGTTGCAAAAGGTAACCCAGTCTTTGGATCACGGTACCTGAAACAGCACACAACAATCAAACAACAGGGAAAGGTATGTATGATCGTGATATTCTTCTGTGTTTTTTTTTTGCTTTTTATTTTTTGGTATAGATACAATATCTTGTGGTATAAAGACATCCCAACCTAAATCTGGAACCCAGAGCAAAGTGGGGAACACATGGAGCGACTGAAAGACTGTTAAAGGGGATCCCATAAGAATGGAGCCATAAACTTCTGTAATTATGTTGCTCTGCAGTTCAAAAATTATTCTATACATGTACCCACAAGCTATAACTTCTGTAATGTATTACTCTGATGTTAAATTTATCATATTTTCCCAGGAAATTGAAATGACAAACCTAGATTTAAATGCAATATGTGACCATCAAGATAGAAATGAAATCTTACTTCGCAGGCAACCCAGTAACCGCACACACGGCCTTCTGCGGATCTGGTACAGAAAATGAACAAACAAATTAGCTGTAATTAACAGCATTTACAAGAAAAACATCTTTCAGAAACCCCGTAACTGTAACAAAGATCAGTAAGCTCATTGCAAGTTTTTTAATGACTTCAATTGTACCCAAACCCTCTGTGATTGGCATTTAAACTTGTCACCTAACTATAAAAACTTGAGCATAGCGATTTCAGAGCTATTTGCATGATATTATAGATGAATGGAGATAAGGAAGTTTGAGACCATGTTCCAAGAGGACCAATACTACCAACAAATTAATCTAAATTTTGACAGGAATTTTTTATTTCATCAAAGTACTTGCTGACACCCTTGCCAACATTACAAAAATCAGACAACCAGTTTAAGTCCCATCATTAGAACTTGGCACCTTGCTTTAACAGCAGCAAGCTAGAACATTTAGTTTCTTAAAGAGGCAGAGCCAGGAGGATAAATCTATTCATGAGGACATTGATGAACCTAGGGATTCTTGAGAATTCTTCAGACAAGTGATGTGCAAAATAATATGCGGATTTATTTCATGAGATAAGGGAAAGAAGAAAAAACCAATTAAAGGCAGCCTTGGGCCCAAGTCTCATAATGTGTCCAACATTAAGGTCCAACATAAGATAACTCATATATCAATGCATTGTACAACTTGAAAAATCGTTTGAAAGAATGTTCTAACACGTGTTCTAGCGAGGCAGTTCAAGAGACCTACTCCATTCCAGAAAAGTACTCCAAGATAGCACATCAAGTGTACATGAATCAGACAACATATTCTAATATGACACAAACTCAATGTTCAAAAAATTTTATATTAACTTTACAATTAACATTCTGAAGAAAATTAACTAATATCAAAGCATCCATGAACATGAAGTCACCATCAACCTTCCCACAAATATATAGTCATGAGCACAAAAAATTTACTTACAAGGAGTGGATACTGTAGAAATCTCTGATTGAAACAACAATCCTTTACTGAATTCTAGATAGGAATTACCTGCAACAAAATTTCCAAATCAATTTGAAATAATTCACTCAAAAAAGGAATGATTACAGGGGAAAAAGAGAATTATTATTCAATTGCAAAGAAAAAGACCAAGCTGAATATTCAGATTCTAGTCTCTGAAGAAAACAAGTATCAATTAGTGATGAGAGAAAGCTTGCCATCTCTAGAAAGATATCGTATCTGAGGGCCACTATAAACTGCTTTGTGTACAACTGCTCTTTTCTTAACTTCTTCCTCCCTTGCTAACACTCGTTCTAAGTTTCTCAAGTTCATAATTTCTGTGAAACAAAAAATTTGTACCATGAATATCTGAGATCATCCCACAAGTAAAATTGGTAGACTATCTCTTCAAATCAAACATATAGCATAAAACCTGTTTGAGCTGCTTCCAGAAGCATCTCTTCTTGGGTCATCCTCTTCTCTTCTCCTTCCTTTTTCCTTTTAATTGGCTGCCAAAAGAAAATTTATTCAGTTCAAGCTACTTAACTGCACATCCAAAAACTTACAATAGCTATCCAGTTGAATAGTCATCAGAAATTTTCATGATTAGCATTTCATTCACATGGAAGAATACCAAGAGTTGCTTTACTATCAAATGAACTAGGAAATATGGCATAATTTATCAGTAAGGAATCAACCAATTCGCAGCTTTACAAATTATCATTTCAATGGTCCAGTCAGTCAAAACAAAAAACAAAACAAAACAAAACATAGGGTGAGGTGGACTAATCAGGTTAAGGATATATATATATATTGCACATCCATTAGAAGCATAAACAGATGATCTGGCCAAATTCAAAGAGGATTTCCCCAAACAATTGTGCATGCTTAAATGTTTTACTTCACCAAGGAAAGATTCATAAATAACACATAAGGTTCAGCCAACCTTTAATACATTGATTCACTTGACAGTGACAGCAAATGTGTTTGATACCTCACACTGAGTTTCAAGTTTCAAGAAAATGGTGACCACAATGAAATTGAATGCAACATCACAAGTAAGGTGAACAAATTAATAGTTCAACTATGCTGCCAAATAAGTGGCACTATTAAGTGATTTGAGAAACCCCTTTTTGGCACCGATAATAGATTTTTGACTTTACAAACACCAGTCTTATTTATTTATTTTGTTGCAAGTAAACTAGCACCAAAATAAAATAAAAAGAAAACATGCTTAAGGAAATTGTGGTACACATCAGAACACAGACCTACATTAGTAGATCACGAATAATACGCAGAACACATTATAAAAACAACCTCTGATGGAATAGTGCTACCTGTTAAAGTATGCAGTATCAACACTAGTACGCTACAACCAAAGATTTCAATATTTACTATTTCATCAAATAAATACCAGCAGAACTGACACATGGAGCATGCATCTATATGATGTAAAACTTGGTAAAAATCCTGCATTAGTTTTAATTCTTACAATTGTAATTTAAAATTGATAAGGTTCAGTAATCTAAAGGTAGGTGGGAGGTATTGATGCAGTGGCACACAACTTCTCCATACCCGTCTGTATAATAATTGTAAAGGTTATCACATCTACAAATTGCAAGTATAACATTAACGAAATGATGCTCAGCAAAATAATTAGTCACCTAATCAGTCAAATAGATTATGTAATCAGAACAATTTAACAAAACTTTAGTGAAATGATGATAACAATGAAGTTATTTTCCCTATAAAAAAATAAAAATAAAATAAAAAGCACCGCCAGAAAAGGTCCATTACCCAGTGTTCTCATTTCTAGAAGAACACATCAAGAATGAAATCTCAACTAACCTTCATTGTTGCTTGCAAAGCTGCACGTATTGCATCTCTTTCAGCTTGCCTAACAATAACTGAAGTTCTTGTAGATTTTCTAACTATTCTCTCCACTTCTACGTCATCAGGTGCATCATGATGTTCAGGGAGAGTAGACTGCTCAGCAGTTTCATCATCCTGGGGAGCCTTTCCAAGATTTGAAAGAACCTTCTTTTTCGTCTTCTTCTTTGGCAATTGCTTTCCAGGAAATATTAGTCTCTTCTTTGTCCGCATTCTGTAACAGAAGTCAACATCTTAAAAGTTACCATACTATATTTAAAAACTCTAAACTTCCATGATCTTGGGGAAGTCAAACCTGTCATCTGCCTCATTTTCTACTTCTTCATCTGGTTGAGGTTCCTGATTCCAGTAGAGCATGTAATTGGACAATAAGTTCGTTCAAGTGGTCATGGATATTGAAATTATTACTGCAGTAGTATGAAAGAGGTAGTGACATATTTTAAGTCTAAGAAATGCAGATAATAACAAGACCGTAAATACATACATCATCATCGAAGTCACTGTCAAAAACATCCACAACCTCCCCTTCTTCTTCGTAATTTTCATCATTTTCTTCCTGAGAAAGTAACATAGGATTGAATTGAATCCAGAAACACACAAGAGAACAACATACCATATAAATGCCACTGCTAGTCCTTCGGACTAAGCGGTAACTTAGGTGCTACAATTGAGTAGATGACAAGGTTCAAATCCCATTATCCATAAAAAAATAATACTAATGAAATAAAAAGTAGATATTTAATTTAGAATGGTACATACTTATCATAATTTCATCAATTTTGATAATTGAAATAAATAAAAAAACGATCATACTCAATGCACAAGGCTGCTACTTAGGGTCTGGGAGACGTAGTTAGTAAGCAGCATTCCCCACTTTTTTTTGTGGAGAGATTGATAATAGAAATAGATGCATGTGGTCAATAAATAAGAAAAACTTGTATGTCAATAACTTGCAATGCCAAGGAGTTTATTTGTTTTGAGCACAAAACAAACAATAGACCATAGTGAGTGACGATGAAAAATAACTAGATCAAATTAACAAATAGGAACTATGTGACTCCAAAATGTCCCAAATTATGACTTACTGAACAATTTCTATGTTTTTTGACATAAAAAGATCTGAAGTTGATTTTTCCTCTCCCAGGAAGACTTTAAGTGAGTGAAAAGAACGCAAAAAAGGAAAAGATTAATTTTTTAACCAAAAAGTGCATAACCAAATTGTAACATCAAAGACCACTTCTACTCAATTTTAGATAGAGTACTCTAATAGGGGACTTATCATGCTCTTCATTACTCTGTCTCTATTTCACTTTCTGGGAACATTATTGGTGTTTCACATTAAGGTGAAAAAATGAATGGATGCACAAATATTGATCAAGAAACTACATGTGGACAAGAGAAACGCCAATGTTAAAAGTCTGAGCAGTGAATACCTCTTTGAGAGCCTCCTGATTCCAGAACGTTTCATCCTCTTCATTCTCGTCATCAAGCAATTTGTTCATTCTAACAATGGCATCAATATAGTGTCAAAACCTTTCAATATCTCAAATAGAATTTCCATTATCCTTCTAGATGGGTCAGCTATATCCCAAGTTTTGGCACTTGGAAGTGCAAGAGAAGCTAAAGAACAAAATATTAAACAGATATATATCTACAAACATGCACCAAACAGATAAATGAGGTCATGAAATTATTTATAGGATATGAGGTTTATACCGTTTGCCTCTCGTTACTCGGGATGCACGGTCAAGAAAAACAGGATCCTCTTCTTTGCCGGTTTCCATGCTGGCAAACTGTTTTCAGCTCTGCAACTTCTTCTACTCTTCTGCTTTGAATATGGATTCAAGAAGACAAAAACCAAATACAATCCCTTTCGGCAATTACAACCCCAAACATTTTATTAAGTGGGTAAAGAAATTTAAATATGACACCATGAGTTCTTAATGGCACAGTTAGAAGAAGAATTCTCATCAAAGCCATATGAAAATAAAAATCATTAACAAAAACATCAATTACAAACTAAAGAACTAAAATTTGTCTATACAATTTTAGAACAAGCAAATGGATCCTTAAAAATTTGTCTATACAATTTTAGAACAAGCAAATGGATCCTTAAAAATTAACAAATTAGACCATGACTCCTACTTTCTCCTCCAATATTCCCAAAGTTAAAAGATCACCAGGAAGCAATAGATTGTTCTTGTGGTCAATTTTTCTACAATCACAAAACTTTATTCAAAATCTACGATTATCATCTTCAGTTTCAAAATCCAAAGAGAGAGTTTTTGAGCGAAACGACGAAACAAAGAATTGCACAACCACACAGAACTCGAGTATGCGAGAGTGAGTACCTATGAGAGAAGATCAGATCTGTGATTGAAACTTTCGATTGTTGTTTCGTCGAAGCCTTGGAGCGGAGGTGGCGATTGATGTCTGAAGGGAACGTTGGAAGGCGGCGCCGGAAGCTGCAGTCGGCGTTGGGTTTCGGCGTTGAATCTGAGAGTGTTTTCTTTCGGTCTGAGAATCTCATAGAGATAGAGAACAGAGTGGGCCGAGAGGGGTGGGCTGCCTGCATTTGACCGGACCGGACCGGACCGAGTCTTTATGGGCTGAACATATCTAAATTTCAAGTCCAGTCCAGGCCAGTTCAGTACTCAAGAAATGAATTGGTACCTTACAAATTTTTTATTTTATTTTTTTGATTTCTTTTTATTCCAGTCTTATTGGACTGTGTTGTTAGAATTTTGTAGGCCCACCATTATAGGGCTCACTATGAAAGGATGGTGATTACTATTAGATTGTCTGTTGAAAGACAAATGAATTTTTTTATCACTATAGAGTTATACCAAGGATCTACCTTAAGTTCTTATTTTTTTGCGTTAGTTATGGATGAGTTGACGAGAAATATTCAGGATGACGTGCCATGGTGTATGCTTTTGCAAATGATATCGTGTTAGTGGATAATACTAGAGAATGAGTTAACACAAAGTTGGAGATTTTGAGAAAAACACTTGAATCTAAAGGATTCTGGACAAGCATAACTAAGACAGAGTACATGCAGTATAAATTTAGTAACAATAACAATGAAAGCAGATAAGAGGTGAAGATTGAGAACCAAGAACTGCTTAAGAGTTAACATTTTTGTTATTTATGGTCGATTGTCACAACGGCGGGGTAGATTGATGCGGATGTGGCTCATAAGATTAAGGCGGGATGGCTTAAGTGGAGAAGTGCATCTGGGGTACTGTGTAATAAAAGAATACCCACTAGACTAAAAAAAAAAATTCTATAGAACGACTGTTAGACCAGTGATGTTGTACGGGATGGAGTATTGGGTAACCAAAAAATAACATGTCGATAAGATGAGTATTGCTGAGTTGAGGATGCTTAAGTGGATTTGTAGTAAAATTAGACAAGACAGAATTATGAATTAGTGTATTCGAAAATGGATAAGAGTAACACCGATAGAAGATAAGTTGAGAGAAAATCGATTGAGATGGTTTCGTCATATTCAACGGAGACTAATAGAGACAGTAGTGAAGAGATACGATGTAGTGATGGTAAATGAAAATATTAGGGGATCAAGTAGGCTTAGATTAACGTTGACTAGCATTGTGAATAGAGATATGAATCGACTTAATTTGACTAACGAAATGACATTTGAAAGAGCTACGTGAAGAAGAATGATTAATGTAATCGACCCCATTTGATAGGATTTAGGGCTTGGTTTGGTTTTATATATAGATTATTTATGGAAAAAAAATTAATTTGATCTTTTTTTTTTCTTTTTTCTTTTTTTTTTTCTACTTGGTCAATTTGATAATTATAATTGTACAATATTATCACATTTGCCATAAGAAAAATCAACAATAAATATTATTTTAAAAAAATATATCATTTATTATTTTAATTCAAATATAATGAAATTATATAACTACTATAGTCGAACTAGCCTAGTTTTTTATATTTTGCTTTTATAAATAATCTACATATAGAGACTTGAAAAATATATTAATGTCATCATTAAAGTGAGGCTTTAGCGGGCCGAAAGAGCCTAACACAGTCCAATTCTATCTCAAGCCCATTCTTCTTTGAACTATGAGTATGGCCTCAAGTTTGTGCTTAAAATACTTTAACTAGGCCCAGTCCAACCCCAACCTGTTCAACAGTCGTTATCAAGTAGATTAGGCCTTTTTCACCATAGGTTCATTATTTCGCACCAACCAATATAAAAATGGAAAAATTACTATGTAGTCCTATGTAGAGTATCTATTTCCCTTCTAATCCCAATATATTTTTAATAGATTAATAGGTCCACAGTTTTTTAAGTTTTATACCCAGAGGTCCCGTTTTTTATTTTCTTATTTTTTAAATGACTGTATTACCCTTGGTGTTGAGATCTATATATACGTGAAAAATCAAATATTTGCTCCGTTCAAAAAAGAAAGTCAAATATTTGCCTCTGCAATCTCGATTTCTCTTCGTTATGGCAATCTCTTTGTGCTGTGTGGTCGATCTCATTGTATTGTAAGGTGGATCTGGTTGTGCGATTTGAATCTCTGTGTATAGGCTCTGTGTGTGTGTGTGTGTGTGTGTGTGTGTGTGTGTGTGTTTGTGTGTGTCTATGTCTCACTCTGTCTGTATCTGTCGATACATATATGTATGTACATATAGATAAGCAAATTTGCGTGATATATGGTTTGTGTTTAACAATGTTGTTATAGTTCTTTGTTTTGTGATAATTTTTGTTTATTTGATACTTATTTTGTGATTTTTGTATGTGATATAGTGTAATGATTTTGATTTTGTTGATTTTGTTTGTTGTATAGTGTAATGTGTTTTGAAGTTGTAGTTTGAAATTGTGAATTCTGATGTTTTGATACTGATATGTTGTAACTGTATAATTTTACAGTTTGGAATTGTGAATTGTGAAGTGTTGATACTGATATATTGTAACTATATAATTTTGCAGTTTGGAATTTGTGAACAATTATTTGCTGGTTTGTGATTTTATAATATGGAGGGGTGTTTCATGTTAATGTGAAAATACAGTAAGTCTTGTACTGTTATTAAGATTAGTGAGGGATGTAGTTATCATGAAGTTGTTGAGAAAATATCTACGAAGTTCAAGGAGTTGAGTGTTGGTAACTTTTGTTTGTTTTCTCTATTCCTGGATATTCTAATTGTATTGTTGAATGTGATAATGATTTGAGGAATATGTTGTCAATAGTAAGCTGTAGTGGTTCTCATATTGTTGATGTTGTTGTGGGTGATAAGAGAATTGTGTAGTGGTTCTCATGTTGTTGATGTTGTTGTGGGTGATAAGAGAATTGTGGAGGTTGATGATGATAATTCTTGTAGGATTGATTCTGTAATTTGTGAGAGTTCTTTGGTTAATGATTGTGATGGTATTGGTGGTTTGTTGCCTAGTTTTTATCCAGAGCCAGAGAGAGTTTTGTTGTCTGCTAGTTAGAAGGGGATTATACATAGTGTTGGTCAAGAATTTGAAGGTGGAGTGCCGACGTTCCGTATTGCATTGGCTAAGTATGCAGTTAAGTGTGGTTTTGTAGTGAATTATTTGAAAAACGATGCAGCAAGAGTAACTGCTGAATGTATGATGAAGTTGTCTACGGGTTGTAAATGGTTTGTGCATAGAAGGGTGTTGATGAATTTCGGTATTTTTTTTATTATGAAGTTGGATAATGTGCATACTTGTGGGGTTGTTGCTCGTAGATCTTGTAGCAAAATGGTTGGTTCTAGACTGGTATCTGATATTGTGCATAATGATATTAGTGATAATCCGTTGACTCGTCCTATTGAAGTTAAAAAAAAGTTGAAGAAGCAATATGGTATAGATGTTTCTTATCGGGTTGCATGGTTAGGAGTTGATAAGGCAATATGTGGGTTGTTTGGTGATTTTGCAACTTCTTTTGACCAACTTCGATGGTACCTTGAGACAGCTATGAGAACGAATCCGGGACGTGTGTTTGAATTAGATGTGGATGAAAGTAGGGGGTGTTTTCAGAGGTTGTTTGTGGCATTTCATGGATGTTTGTATGGCTTTCAATTTTGTCATCCGTTGTTGTTTGTTGATGGCACATTCTTGAAGGAGCATTACAATGGGCATTTGCTTGCAGTAACATCAAAGAATGGTAATCAAGGTATGTATTTATTTGTAATTAGTATAGTTTTGGTTTGTTAGTGTGTTATTGTATTGTAAGTCTGCTAATTTTTGCAGTTTCATGTTATTTTGTTTGCAGGCTTGTTTCCTTTGGCTTTTGCAATTGTTGACGCTGAAAATCAAGATAATTTGATGTGGTTCTTAAGTCAGTTGTTAAAGGCTGTTGGTTCAGGCCGGAGATTGACCTTTGTGTCTGACCGTCAACATGGATTGCTAGATGCTCTTTTAGTGGTTTTTCCTAATGCACATCATGCATATTGCTTGAATCATTTGAAGAGAAATTTGATTGACAAATTGGTGGGACTTCGTACTAACTAAAATACAATCCCTTTCGGCAATTACAACCCCAAACATTTTATTAAGTGGGTAAAGAAATTTAAATATGACACCATGAGTTCTTAATGGCACAGTTAGAAGAAGAATTCTCATCAAAGCCATATGAAAATAAAAATCATTAACAAAAACATCAATTACAAACTAAAGAACTAAAATTTGTCTATACAATTTTAGAACAAGCAAATGGATCCTTAAAAATTTGTCTATACAATTTTAGAACAAGCAAATGGATCCTTAAAAATTTGTCTATACAATTTTAGAACAAGCAAATGGATCCTTAAAAATTTGTCTATACAATTTTAGAACAAGCAAATGGATCCTTAAAAATTTGTCTATACAATTTTAGAACAAGCAAATGGATCCTTAAAAATTTGTCTATACAATTTTAGAACAAGCAAATGGATCCTTAAAAATTAACAAATTAGACCATGACTCCTACTTTCTCCTCCAATATTCCCAAAGTTAAAAGATCACCAGGAAGCAATAGATTGTTCTTGTGGTCAATTTTTCTACAATCACAAAACTTTATTCAAAATCTACGATTATCATCTTCAGTTTCAAAATCCAAAGAGAGAGTTTTTGAGCGAAACGACGAAACAAAGAATTGCACAACCACACAGAACTCGAGTATGCGAGAGTGAGTACCTATGAGAGAAGATCAGATCTGTGATTGAAACTTTCGATTGTTGTTTCGTCGAAGCCTTGGAGCGGAGGTGGCGATTGATGTCTGAAGGGAACGTTGGAAGGCGGCGCCGGAAGCTGCAGTCGGCGTTGGGTTTCGGCGTTGAATCTGAGAGTGTTTTCTTTCGGTCTGAGAATCTCATAGAGATAGAGAACAGAGTGGGCCGAGAGGGGTGGGCTGCCTGCATTGACCGGACCGGACCGGACCGAGTCTTTATGGGCTGAACATATCTAAATTTCAAGTCCAGTCCAGGCCAGTTCAGTACTCAAGAAATGAATTGGTACCTTACAAATTTTTTATTTTATTTTTTTGATTTCTTTTTATTCCAGTCT